TGAGGAAAGTAAATCTCATGAGCTGTATATAGCTCCTAAGGCTATTTTACCCACATCTCAATAAGTTTCTCAAACTCTCATTTTTATCTGCCACCCAGTGCCATAGGGGGTAATTTTGTCATGCTCTGATGGACGCACAGGTTTATGTCCAGGAGTCAGACCAGGAAGATTTTTTGAAAGCATATTTTAAGCATCATTGGCCTAAAATGACCAGAGGGGACATGGGGGGAATAGTACGGTAAGAAATTGATAAGATTGTTCTCATGTAGGATCAAAAAAGTTGGAGGAATAGTTTAAGGCAAAGAGACAATACAGAAAAGCAGATGGAAAATCCCCCACACCTTGACACATAAAAGAACTTGTCACCATGTCATCGATGCTGCTAATTGTTCTACTGGGTTACAAATTAAAATGATTTGGTTATCACTTTTTAAAAAAAATGTGCATGAAACAATGTTTGTATACATTGAACCATCAGAAAGCATGGTATCTCAGTCATCCCTGTGGACATTTTGGAGTTCTGGAATTTTAGATAAAGGTTGCTCTGCCTGGACCTGAGTTGGATCTAGAAAAGCAACATGCAAATAACCCCTTGGGGCCATGAAGCTCACAGAGATGACCCTGGGTGAGATTCTCCCCCCCCCCCCCCCCCCCCCCCGCAAGGTACTTTATTCTTATTGTCATAAGAACAGAGCAAAAATCATGTGCATTACCCTTGGGGAAAGGATTAAATCACTTAAAAAATAAAGTCAGCAGTATTTTACTTTAGTTGAACCTGGCACCGAGACTCGTCTCCAAAACAGCACTCTGACTAAGGTTGTGTCATACGTCAACGACATTTTGCAATCTATGCTCAATACTGAGGTTTATGTAATAATTTTGCTGTTTTCTGAGACTGCAATCAGTTTCCCTATGTATCCAAAATGTCAAGCTGGGCTTTAAAAAAAAAAAAAACCCAGGAATGCAAATATTAATATTAGATTACAGGTTGTTTTTATCAAGAGGCAGAAGAAGAAATAATTGAAGCCTGGAATGTAGTACACTGGGGTCACAGATAAACAGAGGACAGGAACACACAAACATTTTACAAATTACATTGGCACTTGAGTAAGCAAAGGAAGATAGCTGACCATTAATACAATTCAGTCCCTCATACATTCACCCAAAGCTGTTTCCCACCTTGCTCAACTATGGTTACTCTCAGGTAAGTATGCAAGGGATTTCAGTCTCAATAATAAAGCAGATCTTTGCCACTTTAAACACACATTAAAAACTTTGGCTTTCCCTCTTTCTTCTTCTCTTTTTTGCATCATCAGCTTCACTGGATAGGCCATGCCCCCCTTTTGCCTGATTATCATCTCCCAAAGCACCTTTATACTTTATTCTGTGCTCAAGAATGGAAAATGAAATGTTAGTAGACAATAAAAGAGATTTAAAAATGGGCTTAAAACTAACCTTACAAAATGTGGTATAAATATCAAGAACTGGGAAGTCCTGGCCCACCAGCACTCTAACTGGAAATCACTTGTTACCAACCGCACTGTGGATTTTGAAGAGGAAGGCGTGTCAGGCAAACCCTTGATGTGACCTCCTTCCATTTGGAAACCTATGTCCTCATTGCAAAATAAATTGTGGATCAAGAATAGGTTTCTGCAGTCATTTACTGACCTGCTAAGGCTCCACCCATGGAAGACAATCATTCTTGGTGACAAATGATTGCCTATAGTAGTTTTTTTTTTGTCCTGTCAGGAGTAACTTGAGAAACTGCAAGTCGTTTCTGGTGTGAGAGAATTGGCCGTCTGCAAGGACGTTGCCCAGGGGACGCCCGGGTGATGTGATGTTTTTATCATCCTTGTGGGAGGTTCTCTCATGTCCCCGCATGAGGAGCTGGAGCTGATAGAGGGAGCTCATCCGCCTCTCCCTGGATTCGAACCTGTGACCTGTGTCCTGCCAGCACAGGGGTTTAACAAACTGTGCCACCAGGGGCTCCACCTATAGTAGTAATACCATCTGGAAATTCTTTACAGAGATTGATAAGCCTTGCAATCTCTATTGTTGCATGGATAACGCATTCCTTTGGCTATTATGACTTTTTCCCATTTCTAATCTAAGGACTGTGGTAAAATGTACTTTGGCCTAGCAGTCTTCTCTGAGATACCTTGAAAATAAGAGTTCTTTGTAACAACATTTCCCTAATTGATCTGTGCATGTTGGAAGATGTGTGCCTGGCATGCAAAGCCCTGCTGGGTGGCAAACCATTGAGGCAAGCTCAGCTCTTTAACAAGCTCTGGCCAGAAAAATGTGTGGAAATGGCAGCTGGTCTCTGGATGTCCAACTTCAGACCGAGAAAGGATTCTATATCCACCCAGTGAGGGGTAGAAAGAGAAGCCCAGGCCAATTATTCTTAAGAGTATCCAGAAATACCAATGTTAACCTGTACGTGCCAAAACAAGCAAGGGCTGTGTAAAAACGCATTCAGATTGCACAACCTTCCATGGCACAAAAAGGCTAATTCTTTCTTTGTTGAGACAATATCTACACTGTCATATTATGCAGATTGAATTAGTGTGGACCCATATAACTAGGAAGAAGGTGCAATATTATATTATGCAATATAAAATGTTTATATGTAACAGCTGTCGATTATTATTATCATATATATATATATATATATATATATATATATATATATATATATATATATATATAAATGCTCTGTGCATAATGAGTGCCTTAAAAACAAAAGAACCAATGAATGAAATCACACCAAATTTGGCAACAAAACGTCTCACAACACAAGGAGTGACCATCACTCAAAAAATTATGATTTTGTCATTTGGGAGTTGTAGTTGCTGGGATTTATAGTTCACCTACAATCAAAGAGCATTCTAAACTCCATCAACGATGGAATTGAACCAAACTTGGCACACAGAACTCCCATGACCAACAGAATATACAGAAAATACTGGAAAATATTGCTGGGCATTGACCTTGAGTTTGGGAGTTGTAGTTCACCTACATCCAGAGAGCACTGTGGACTCTAACAATGATGGATCTGGACCAAACTTGGCACAAGCACTCAATACGCCCAAATATGAACACAGATGGAGTTTGGGGGAAATAGACCTTGAACTCCCATGACCAACAGAATATACAGAAAATACTGGAAAATATTGCTGGGCATTGACCTTGAGTTTGGGAGTTGTAGTTCACCTACATCCAGAGAGCACTGTGGACTCTAACAATGATGGATCTGGACCAAACTTGGCACAAGCACTCAATACGCCCAAATATGAACACAGATGGAGTTTGGGGGAAATAGACCTTGACATTTGGGAGTTGTAGTTACTGGGATTCACAGTTCACCTACAATCAAAGAACATTCTGAACCCCATGAACGACAGAATCGGGGTAAACTTCCCACACAGAACCCCCATGACCAACAGAAAATACTTAAGGCCATCCAATCCAACTCCCTTCATCAGGGCAACGTAATCTAAGTCCTCCTGACAAAGAGCCATCCAGCCATAGAGATAGATAGATAGATAGATAGATATGATTCTCACACACACAGATCATAGATTTGAAAGGGACCCTTAAAGTGATATGTTGCATGTTCCAGGGTGGGCAAACCAGACACTCTTCCACATCAACACTGACAAAGAAACAGCAAGAAATACTGTTTACCCTCAAGCATAAAGAAATACGAGAAGGCCTTACTGGTACATTATTTAAACTGTTATTTATTCATATCATGATCTGATCACCATGCTCAATATATCCCATATGCATGGGGGTATCGGGGTAACGATACAAAAGGTTTGCTAGGGTACTTTCACTCAGACTCAGCCCCCCCCTCCCCCCCCCCCCCGAATGAAACTCAGCTCTCCCCGAATCAATATCCTGGCTACGGGCCTGCCCACAAGCATAAAGAATCATAGAATCATAGAATCAAAGAGTTGGAAGAGACCTCATGGGCCATCCAGTCCAACCCCCTGCCAAGAAGCAGGAATATTGCATTCAAATCACCCCTGACAGATGGCCATCCAGCCTCTGTTTAAAAGCTTCCAAAGAAGGAGCCTCCACCACACTCCGGGGCAGAGAGTTCCACTGCTGAACGTCTCTCACAGTCAGGAAGTTCTTCCTCATGTTCAGATGGAATCTCCTCTCTTGTAGTTTGAAGCCATTGTTCCTTCCCCCTGTGGCTTCCTCTCACATATTTATACATGGCTATCATATCTCCTCACAGCCTTCTCTTCTTCAGGCTAAACATGCCCAGCTCCTTAAGCCGCTCCTCATAGGGCTTGTTCTCCAGACCCTTGATCATTTTAGTCGCCCTCCTCTGGACACATTCCAGCTTGTCAATATCTCTCTTGAATTGTGGTGCCCAGACTTGGACACAATATTCCAGATGTGGTCTAACCAAAGCAGAATAGAGGGGTAGCATTACTTCCTTAGATCTAGACACTATGCTCCTATTGATGCAGGAAATTACATATATTAGAAACCAACACTTTCTCGTTAATTTATTTTTCAGATCAACAAACTGGGCCACAGCAACGCGTGGCAGGGGACAGCTAGTCTATTTAATAAAAATACAATGCGGTTTAACTGAATTGCACTTGATGGCTGTATGGGTGCAGCCGGAGTCTGGCCCTCCCATCCCCAAAGAATGTCTGGACCTGCAGCTTCGGATGGATCTACACTGCCACACAATTCAGCTTGAACTGCATTATATGGTAAGTACACAGCCTGAAGTGCATTGCCTACGGCCGTACAATGCAGCTCAAAGTGCATGATGTGGCACAACTCACAAGCCGGCAAACTTAAGTCGGAGAGCAAGTTTATCTTTACTCCGACCCGAGGTTGCAAAAACAAGCGTCTCCAAAGAGCTGGGGCAAAGGGCTTCCTTCTTTCGCTACGGCTCTGCCTGTCCCCTTCCTCCCGGCTAACAAAAACTGGGTTCCTCCCCTCCAAAATCCCCACGAGCATCGGCTTACGGTCCCCACTAGATTGTGCCTGGCTTGCCGACTCCACCGTCCTGCTCTCCCCTTTCGGGTCTCTTCCGGCTCTCTTTCCCCTCGTTTTTCACTGGAGCTGGACGGGGTGAGTTCCCATTCTCACTGGGAAGGCGGGGAGGGTGGAGGCGGGGAGTCCAACAGGCTCCGGATTTTAAGGTAGCGCCGGAGATCGTGGCGCAGAATCAGGAAAAGGCAGGAGGGAGAAAAGGGTCGGCGGAGAGCGGCTCCTGCAGCTGCCACGTCATTGGAAACAGGCTTCTTCTGAGGAAGTCTTTATTTATCGTGTCAAGGGCCACCAGACAATTGTATTACATTTCTAACAGAACAAAACAAACAAACAGACAAAAAACCCACAGAATTTGCAAGCCTGGTAGTTGATTAAATGTCCTTCTGGCCACTTGTAGTGCAGCTGGTGTTGCCGCAAGGAGGTCCTCCATTGTGCATGTGGCAGGGCTAGTGAAAGATGTGGTATAGTCTTAGAATCCTAGAGTTGGAAGAGAACTAGTGGGCCATCCAGTCCAACCCCTGCCAAGAAGCAGGAAAATCGCATTCAAAGCACCCCCGACAGATGGCCATCCAGCCTCTGCTTAAAAGCTTCCAAAGAAGGAGCCTCCACCACACCGGGGCAGAGAGTTCCACTGCTGAACGGCTCTCACAGTCAGGAAGTTCTTCCTCATGTTCAGATGGAATCTCCTCTCTTGTAGTTTGAAGCCATTGTTCCGCGTCCTAGTCTCCAGGGAAGCAGAAAAAAAGCTTGCTCCCTCCTCCCTGTGGCTTCCTCTCACATATTTATACATGGCTATCATATCTCCTCTCAGCCTTCTCTTCTTCAGGCTAAACATGCCCAGCTCCTTAAGCCGCTCCTCATAGGGCTTGTTCTCCAGACCCTTAATCATTTTAGTCACCCTCTTCTGGACACATTCCAGCTTGTCAATATCTCTCTTGAATTGTGGTGCCCAGAATTGGACCATGTTGTGGATTCCACTTTGTAGCCCCATTTCTGAAGGTTGGCTTTGCATCTCGTGGTGCCAGAGCGCAGTCTGTTCAGCGCCTTCCAAGTCGCCCAGTGTTCTGTGTGCCCAGGGGGGAGTCTCTCATTTGGTATCAGCCATTGGTTGAGGTTCTGGGTTTGAGCCTGCCACTTTTGGACTCTCACTTTCTGAGGTGTTCCAGCGAGTGTCCCTGTAGATATTAGAAAACATTTTCTTGATTTAAATTGTTGACGTGCTGGCTGATACCCAAATAGGTGATGAGCTGGAGATGTCACTGCCTTGGTCCTTTCACTATTGGCTCTTTCCCAGTGGATGTCAGGTGGTGCAATACTGAATAAACAGTGTAATTTCTCCAGTGATTCAGGGCGCAGACACCCCGTGATAATGCGGCATGTCTCATTAAGAGCCACATCTACTGTTTTAGCGTGGTGAGATGTGTTCCACCCTGGGCATGCATACTCAGCAGCAGAGTAGCATAGCGCACAATGTCTTCACTGTGTCTGGTTGTGATCCCCAGATTGTGCCAGTCAGCTTTCGTATGATATTGTTTCTAGCACCCACCTTTTGCTTGATGTTCAGGCAGGGCTTCTTGTAGGTCAGAGTGACTCCCACGTAGGTCAGAGTGACTCCCGCACTGAATGCATGGCCTTTGGGTCCAAAGGCAGCTCCACTGGGGTTGCTAAACTGCCCTGTCTTTCTGGCAGAGCTTTCCAAACATTTCCTGTTGGGGGACACGCTCTTTAACAGGGATCAGTTTGCACACAGTCATTTGGTTTTACTAGCAAAGCAGAGGATAACCCAGACTCGGGCAAACTTTGGCCTTCCTGCTGTTTTGGATTTCAACTCCCAGAAATCCCAACCAGCTTATACAGGATCAAATCTTAAATGCCTTTCTCATTCACCACAATTCACGTTGAGGAATAATAATACATCTCAGAGTAGAAAGTATTGGAAATGACAATCTTCATCAAATCTTATCTAGCAATCTGTTTGTCTATTATCTTGTTGCTTACTGTTTCCTGTATGTATGTTTTGGTGTGCAGCTTCCTTTACTCTATGGCAGGGGTCCTCAAACTAAGGCCCGGGTCCGGATACAGCCCTCCAAGGTCATTTACAGAGCCCTTGCTCAGAGTCAACCTAAGTCTGAAATGACTTGAAAGCACACAACAACAATCCTATCTCATCAGCCAAAAGCAGGCCCACGCTTCCCATTGAAATACTAATAAGTTTATATTCATAGAATCATAGAGTTGGAAGAGACCTCCTGGGCCATCCAGTCCAACCCCCTGCCAAGAAGCAGGAATATTGCATTCAAAGCACCCCCGACAGATGGCCATCCAGCCTCTGTTTAAAAGCTTCCAAGGAAGGAGCCTCCACCACACTCCGGAGCAGAGAGTTCCACTCTTGAACGGCTCTCACAGTTCTTCCTCATGTTCAGATGGAATCTCCTTTCTTGCAGTTTGAAGCCATTCCTCCGCGTCCTAGTCTCCAGGGCAGCAGAAAACACGGTCGCTCCCTCCTCCCTGTGACTTCCTCTCACATATTTATACATGGCTATCATGTCTCCTCTCAGCCTTCTCTTCTTCAGGCTAAACATGCCCAGCTCCTTAAGCCGTTCCTCATAGGGCTTGTTAAATTTGTTCTTCATTTTAATTATTGTATTGTTTTAAAGTGTTTTTGCACTACAAATAAAATATGTGCAGTGTGCATAGGAATTAATTCATTATTTTTTCAAATTATATTGAGGGACTTTGATCCGGCCCTCTGTTTAAAAAGTTTGAGGACCCATGCTGTATGTTTTCTGAAAAGGGGCTGCAGGCTACATTCTCCCTCTCTCCCTCTCTCTCTCTCCTTTTGACTATGTGACCTGTTGATAGCTGCTTTGTTACAGGAGAGACACCCTGGAGGCCTGGTACAGGGAACCATCTCAAAGAACACACCAAATTGGGATAGATAGCCAATACCCCAGGAGACAGGAGCAAAATTCGAAACAATCTGAACAGATTAGAGCAGGGTCCAAAAACTTTTTAAACCATGGGCCAGGTCACATTGCCTCAAACTGTTGGAGGGCTGGATTATAATGTGAAAAAAAAAAACATGAATGAATTCCATTGCGCACTGCACATTTCTCATTTGTAGTGCAAAAAAAACACTTAAAACAATACAATAATTAAAATGAAGAAAATGTTTAACAAATGTAAACTTATTAGTATTTCAATGGGAAGTGCGGGTCTGCTTTTGACTGATGAGATAGGATTGTTGTTGTTGTTGTGTGCTTTCAAGTCATTTCAGACTTAGGTTGACCCTGAGCCAGGGTCGGGTAAATGACCTTAGTTTGAGGACCCCTGAATTAGAGAGATGGGCTAAAACTAACAAAATGAAGTTTAACAGGGACAAATGCAAGATACTCCACTTAGACCAGTGGTTCTCAACCCATGGGTCCCCAGGTGTTTTGGCCTACAACCCCCAGAAATCCCAATCAGTTTACCAGCTGTTAGGATATCTGGGAGTTGTCAGGGAAAACATATGGGGATCCACAGGTTGAGAACTGTTGGATTGCACAAGTCTCCAGCTCTCAATGGGTAGTTAGGCTAGATCCCTGTTTGTCAACCTAGGGGTTGCGAGCCCTGGGGGGGTCGAGAGGGGATATCAGAGGTGTCGTCAAAGACCATCAGAAAACACAGTATTTTCTGGTCATGGGGATTCTGTGTGAGAAATCTGACCCAATTCTATTGTTGGTGGGGTTCAGAATGCTCTTTGATTGGAGGTGAACTATAAATCCCAGCAACTACAACTCCCAAATGTCAAGGTTTGTTTTCCCCAAACTCCACCAGTGCTCACATTTGGGCATATTGATATTTGTGCCAAGTTTGGTTCAGATCCATCATTGTTTGAGTCCACAGTACTCTCTGGATGTGGGTGAACTACAACTCCAAAACCCAAGGTCCTTGCTCTTCTAATGCTTCCAGTATTTTCTGTTGGTCATGGGAATTCTGTGTGCCAAGTTTGGTTCAATTCCATCATTGGTGGAGTTCAGAATGCTCTTTGATTGCAGGTTGCATCCCAGCAACTATACCTCCCAAATGATAAAAATCAATCCAGTCCCCTACCCCACCAGTATTCAAATCTGAACGTATCAGGTATTTGTGCCAAATTTGGTCTGGTGAATGAAAATACACTCTGAATATCAGATATTACATTTTAAACAGAGGCTGGATGGCCATCTGCCAGGGGTGCTTTGAATGCAATATCCCTGCTTCTTGGCAGGGGGTTGGACTGGATTGCCCGTGAGGTCTCTTCCAACTCTATGATTCTATGATTCTATAATTCATAACAGTAGCCAAAATTACAGCTACGAAGTAGCAACAAAAATAATTTTATGGTTGGGGGTCTATATCTATATCTATCTATATCTATATCTGTATCTATATCTATATCTATATCTATCTATCTATTAATATAATAAAATTCAAAGTTTGTATGCGGCGGACGTGTGGCGGTGTGGCGGTGTATGTGCCAGCATTCCGATTGGCCAGCCTGAAAGTTCCAAGATTCTGATTGGCTGCCGCTGTGGTGCTATTTGCATATGGTCTGTGATTGGCCAGCTTTACAGGAGCCCCTGGTGGAGAAAAGGCTTCATGGCAGAAACGGAGATATGAGAGAAGGAAATTTGCATATGGTCTCTGGTTGGCCAGCCTCAATTCCAAGATTCCGAGATGACAAAGAGAGGAAAGGAAAAGGCCAGGGGTTGGGTCAGAAAATTACCAATACAGACCAAACTTGGCACACAGAGCACACAAGACCCACTCTACATCCTACTGCAGTTTGGAGGAGGATGAACCAGGGATGATGCGGCTTGCAGTACCATCACTCACACTCTGAGACCACTGTTAACCTCATCCAATGACTGATCAAGACCAAACTTGGTACATAGACCTCTCATAACCCACTTTACGTCCTGGTGCGGTTTGGCCGGGATGGACTATGGATTATGGGACTTGCAGTACATTTGCTCAATTCTTGGGAGCACTGCATCCCTCATTCAATTACCGATAAAGACCAAACGTGGCACACGGAGTCTCCATGACGCACTCTACATCCTGGTGAAGTTTGGGGAGGATGCACCATGGACGATGGGACTTGCAGGTGCACTCCCTTCTTGAGAACATTACAACTGCCAAC